ATATTGTTTTAATAGGTGACTGCAAACTTGTAACATATTTTCAGTGAACATTCACAATAGACTGATTTTTAAATTTGGCTGTAATAAATTTGGCTGCAGTAAAATATGTAAAATTAAAATATGTGAAATTAATTTTGCTAAAAATCGTATTTTGGTATGAAATATTAATTTTAAACATTTTGTAAAAACTTTAAAAGTAGTTTTAAGGCTTAAGTGTCAGCTGTTAATTGATTAATATCATCAAAAATACTTTTAATATTTGTAAATAAAAGCTTTTAAAGGTGATTTTAAAACTTATTTTCAAACAGATTAATTTCTACTTCAACGCTTTGATATTTAACTTGTTTATCCGAGTCTCAAAAATTGTTTTAAGGTTCATGTAAACCCAGCAGTAACCTTAGTAAACCTAGGTTTTTCTTAAAACCAATTTAAACTTACCAAAACTGATTTAACATCAATTATAAAATCTGTTTTAAAATAGATTTTATGATTCATAGGAATATATGAATTGTTTTCGATACGTTGATCAGACATATTTTCTATAACAGTCACAGTTTTTTCTCTATATTCTCTAAATTTGCACAACTCTCAAAATATTTTCCGGTTTTATTAAAGTCAAATGTCATTGATATTTATTTAAAAAAAATGTCACTTTTTCGTTATCTCAACTTCATATTTTGCTGAAAATTTATCTTACGCATAGTTGCATTTGAATTGTCCCTAAATTTCAGGCTTCGTTTGAACGAAATTAAGGCCATTTCCTAAATTTCATTCTAACCTTAAAACTGAATTTTGTATAGAAAAAACAACATAATTTCGGTGAAACAATGATGAAATTAAGAATATAATATAAGAAAAAACAATACATTTTTTGGTAAAAGAATTTATGTTTTTATTTAATATTTATGTACATACATATTAACAGCTCCACCAATTCTTATAAATAATTTTTCTTATCTAATACGCTTTTGGATGCATTTATAAATATTTTATTCTAAATGCGATCTTATATATAGTTCTCATAAAATTAAGAAAACCCTAAAAAAATTTTTACTTACATATATATGTATATATATATTAAATTTGTTTAAAAGTTGTTCATATATTCAACCTTGTTAAGTTTTACTGATTAATTATATCTGATGTTTTAAAATGCTATAATACAATACATATAATATTGTGTGTATCAAAGTTATGTGTATTTACTTATACATACATGCTAATTATTCCCAAATGAAATATATATATATACATACATATAAATATATATATATATATATAAAGATGTATAAATATATATACATATTTTTTTAGTGTATATATATCAACTGACTATAAGTCACATCACAGTATACCTATGTACCCAAATGTATATCATACATCTCGATCATTTAGTTCAATTTAATTAAGTTCTCTCCCGAAACCACTTCATATATAATATTAAAAACTATTTTATTATTAATATTTTGTTGTTTCTTTAGCTCTTTTCTTTTCAAGGTCTATTTGGGCTGTTGCCAAATAATTTGATCCCTCCAAATGCAAAGTACTTTGCCTGTGTGACTTTCTGATTAAACAAAATACTGCGAGAGCCAAAAGTAATGCGCCGAGTGCGAAGAAAACAATTAACAGCAGAACACGCGCCGCCGGAGGGACAGTTGCTGCGAAATTCATCAAGTTTGTGATTTCATCGGGTAATTGATCAATTCCTTCTTCGAACCATAGAATCGGGAATATGATGTCGGGAAAATTAGCAACTTGTTTGATATCAAGCACTTGACTTACTGCTAAATTAATTTGAATTCGAGCTCTAGCTCTTAAAGTTGTTCCCATGTCCTGTAAAAAGAGAACATATTATTAATATGCTGAATCTATCATTTGAATATATATAGTACTTATAAATGTTTTATAAATAAAACTAAAATAACAATGAATAATTTATTTGTTTCACATATTATATATGACACAAAATAATTATTGAAGACATGCTTATACTTACGGGTTGAATATCGATGAAAAATTCATGTTTTTCTTTTTCTGGTGGTGTGATACCTTCAACAGCTTCTAGTAAGCTCTCATCAGCTAAGTAGAAATGTGGAAAACTTAACATAATTGGAGAATCTAAAAAACAATAACAAGAAATTTATTATAGAACCAATAAAATGATAAATAAGTTTATACCATATTGGCAAAGCGAAACGTTAAATAAACCATTAGGTGGACAGGATTCGGGTCCTCCTGGACAGAAGCATGCATTATCAGGATTACTTTCCATATCATTAAAAACATTGGATGGTGGCGAAAAACGGAATCCTCTAATGCCTCCCTTAGTTTCAACTTCTTTTTCGAATACTAATGGTAAAAGGCGACAAAGGTCTTTATCGTATATATGAAGAACGCGATCGGTTTCGATGTGTGGTGGAAAAATAGAGCCATCAGTACCATTTAAAAGATTACATTCATCAGATAGCCAATGATGAAGCTGCTCATGTCCATTGTATTTGTCAATTATACCATATTGAGTTATATCTTCAACTCCATTAAAAATTGTGACACGATCCTTAAAGACGTAAAGTAATTGATATTATGAACTATTTAAATATATTCATATACAAATAATTTATATATTTGAAAAATATGACATAAGTAATATATATTATATGCTTATATAGATCATTCAACTTTAAAGCATTGAAATATGTATCCATTAAATACGTATTAATGTTTTAAAATATATGTAGATGTGATGGAGACAATCCATTATTATCCATATTATGAGTAAATTATTGTAATATTTAAAAACACTAGTTTTTAATGTAAAAAACATAATCACGTTTCTATTATGAATTTCTAGAGGATATATGCTCTGTGATTTAAACATTTGTTTAAAATATACATAATAATATATGTTTTTAGTGATTTCTATTCAAATGTATTTAACTGTAGTAAATAAAAGTAATTCTGCAATATTATCGTTAAGTACAAAAAAAAAAGTAAAGTATCACAGATGTATCTTATAGATGGCTAGACCACAATAGTGCACATTTCGTTCCGAATTATAAATTAATACTAACAAAAATTACATAAGGTAATCAATTACATATATATTATAATTACTACAAAATTTTGCATTCATGATTTTACACTAAAATGAACGTATCTGGATCATAGACCAAGAGTACACTTTGTTGTTGTGTTTTAGTTTTACAACTCACAAGACAGTGTTTCTATTATTATATTAGCGGTTTTTATTTGTATAAATTATTCAAATTTTTCCAGTTTTATTTCTTATGCTATACAGTCACATTTAGCTAACAAATAATAAAAGCTAAAGTTTCAATAAACCTTAAATTCTCTAAAACAATTCTTTGTAATATTAAAATATTTTTTTTCATGTTTTTTCCATTAGAAAAAACTATATAATTTTTTATATAAAAATTTGAACTATTATAATTATTTATTTACCATTGATGTTCCATTTTTACCATACATAAGTCCGAATTCTTCATAAGGAAGTTTCTGTTCTTTTGGAACAACATCTTTTGCAAGTTTCAATAATGGATCTTCATATCCCCATAATAATTGTCCAATTGAAACTTGAACAAATGGTTTAATTTTTAATATATCCATTATACTGGCCATTGCAAGTCTTAAGAATCTGTGTTTACAATATAAATATTAAAAAAATTATTCCTTAATGATGTAACTAGTAAAGAATTATATAGTACTTACCTTGCTGCATGTTTACTTTGGGACGTTGCACTAAGCATTGGAATATTTGGTACAACAACAACATCTTCTTCAAATCCACTTGAAAGATCTTCACGGAACACATATATTTTTCTCATATTATAGGATATAGTTCCATTAGAATTTTCAATAATATTCACTTTTTCCCACGACTCCCTACAAAAAAGTATATTCAATTGATTTGATTAAATTAATATTTTGGCATAAGACTTACGTGTAAACATATGGTCCTACTTCGCTTAGTAAGGGTTTTGAGCCATTATTAAGGAATTCATTTGCATTCGTTACATTATATACATAAATGTTTATTCTTGGCTCCACAGGTGGTTTTGCCCACCAACCGAAAGATTGACCTTCCGATCTTAATGATACCTGATGATCGATTGCTATATTAACAATTGATGAAAATTTAAATGTGACTAGAATGCCAAAAATTAGGAAGCAAACTCCAATTGCAATGGTTATCCCTTAGAAAGATAAAAATAAATAATAGTTATATAAATAGATATATTTATATATTTATTTATTATAAAATCGTTTTAATAATCTTTTTTTATTATCTTAATCGATGAAATACTTACACCATTTTCTTAAGTATGTGCTTGACAGCTTTGTGCAGATTTTTTGTTGACTTCCATTCATTATA